TTAGGTCGTGACAATGGCAATTACTATAATAAACTTTTTCCTTGGTGGTGGATCTGGCGTCGATGATGTGGTGGTGTTTTCTACAACGGGTTAATTTGTTTGAGGTGGTGGTGGTGGTTCTATTGATGACCATGGTGGTGGTGGTGCTAGAAATAGTGGTGAGATGGTGGTCGCAAGTGTTAGTGGTAGTGACAAATTTTTTTGTTGACTGTGAGTGTTAAATTGGTTAATACATGACCAATAAAAAATATAAATTGTGACCAAGAAATAATGTGTGACATAAAAAATTATTCATCCGTGATCGATAATTTGATAATTTGTGATTATATAATAAGTTGTAATTTGTAATATTCATGATTTGTTACCAATAAATAATCGTGACTTAATTTTTTTTTGATTTGTGACCGATGATCAAACCGTTACTTTTAAAATTTTTGAATTGTGATCGATTGTGACATAAAATTTCTAATTTGTGACAAAAAAATAATAGGTGACGAATTAAATCATTAACTTGTGACCAAAGTGTATAGATATGTAATCTAAATATATTTAATTAATAAATAAATTAATTCATTAATTTATAAATAAATTTTAATAAAAATCTAATTTTTGAAGTTTAAAACTTGTTTTCTTGATTTTGAAATGTGTGACACTTATACTCTTACTTATGAAATTTTCCCTTATGTTATTATTTTTCTTTCATCTATTGAGTTTCGAATATTATATATATCCATATTTGGTGGATCAAGGTAAGGTGTTTGACTGAACTTAAATATTCCCGCGTTTCAGAGAAGAAAAGTGTTGTACTTTGATCCAAATTATAATAGGTATTGAAGTTTTGGTTGAAGTGGCTTGAAGAAAGGTCGTGGCATTTTCGCTAGTTTGCCATTAATTGGCCGCTTGAGCAACTCCTGCATATTTTCTCCAGATATTTGTTACTGCTAGCCTGTCGCTAGAGCAACAGGTGTCATTTCGCGTGTAGACACACTTTTGAATTTCTATTCATCTACAACTTGATTTCTGTAGTTTATATATATAAGTCAAGGCATGAATTATTTTCATAACATTCATATAACATCTCAAGAACTTTAGACCTTAA